CAGTACTGTTTATGGGAAAAGGCAGGTAAGTAGGTACAAAAAAAATCGGGTTTTAATCTACAGAATTCAGGTACAGAGTATGCATATACTTTTGAGAAGGTACGAACAAGTATGAAGAAGTTTTTCGATGCATTCAGTGCAAAAGACCATCTTGGTTGTTTGGTTATTATTTTTAAGATTCTTCCTATTAGAAAATTCAGGCTTCTTTACATTCTATTGGAATTTTTTGTTGAAACTCCTATTATCTTGCATGGTAATAAAACTCTTTAAACCAAAGACCATGAAAATTTTACGTTGAAAAGCTAACTTTCTTAGAGTTTCATTTTCTCGTCATTCGCCAACACTCTCACAAGTAAGATGAGGCTAATTACGATCAAGGGGAGGCGCGTAATTAAGATGAGGTTAGTTACGATTGAAGTCACTTCGCACCTCGGCGCAAATTAATTTCAGCCGTAACTAACGACCCACACATGCAATCCATATGGCGGAAAACTCGATTACTCATTCTGAGATTTCCATTCACCTCATTTAGTGCACGTATCCCTTCGCGTTTCTTGGAATGGGCCATAGAAGTGGAACTCAAATCATGGCACAATGTAATATCAATGAAAAAATATAGTTTGAACTCATCCCGCCGTCGCTTCATTCTGGGCATTTTTTTCTTTTCTTCAAACTCGTGTGAAGAAGCCTTTAATACCCTAGTCCTAAATATCGCACAACGAAGTAAGCATTTTCTCGAGATATACAGTAACGCACGAAGATCCTCGGCTTAATGGATTTTCGGTCGCGATTAGTGGGGTGTACTGTAAATATTGACTACTATTAGCTGCAATCTGATCACGCACCATATATCCCAAAGAGCTTGCACTAAAAATGAATTAGAGATACGTATACCATGGTTCTTCTGGGATTCCCTCCGTCGCGCCGCGTCTAATTTTTATGTCTACTAGCGCACGGTGAAGGAAAAACGCACACTAATTGCAGACGTCACTAACCTTGCTTTCGGCGAAGTCTACTACCGCAACTAACACCTTGCTATTAGTTATGTGTTGCTGTTTTGTAGCCAAATAGAGCCATATAGCATGCTCTAGTTACACGTATCAAATTTTTGCGCGATTTGCTCCACTAAGAAAAACGTTAGAACGAAAAAGCGTTCGGAAGAAGACTTCTAATCGCTACTTTTACATGATGTGCCATGTACAAGAGGGTAACAGGATTGGCCGACTGCTGAACGGATTTCTTCCGGACCGTTGATCTGTTGCGAAGCTTGCTGCAGGGTTGGAGTGAGGCGTGGTTTCTAGCAGTTTTTGTGGCCATCCATTGGCACAAAACTTTGGCGTCGAAAAGGATCTATTTGCAACACGTCACCGCGTGGTCATTCCGAGTCTCTAAGGCGTATGTTTTAGCAGGAAGGAACGCAAAAGCAGGAATGTGTCGAAAAGGTAAGTGGGGAGCCGGACAATCTTTGTCTTCGTCACTACTCCAGATGTTCTTGAATGCTCCCTACGCGGCGCGTTTCCTTCTGCTCAGCTCCGGTGCTTGTCGTTCGTCATATTGCTTTCTCGGCACGCACGCAGCATTCAAACGTTCACTACGTTCAAGTGAAACGAGCATCGGGTACCAATCCGTTTCTCATGAACACCGTCTTGGTTAAGTTCAGTCTCAAGCCGATCCTTCCGGTTGCACAGTAAAACTTGGTCAGCATTCGTTTCGCCTGTTCAATGTTCGGTGTTGCAAGCATGATGTCGTCCGCAAAGCGAAGATGATGTAAGCAAATGTCGTCGACCTCCTTCACTCCTATGACTTCCCATTCCATATGACGCATAATGTTTTCAAGAGCAACCCTAAAAGGTTTTAGCGAGATGGTATCGCCCTGCCCAGCACCTATCTTCACGTTGATAATGAATTCCTCGTGGAATGGGTCGTAGAACTCAGAAGCATATTATATAGTAACTAGGAACACCCTGATTGAGTGGAGCTGCGTGGAGTTTTCACCACCACTTCTGTCTCAACGGTATCAAAATTCTTCTTCAAATCGATGAGCGTGAGACGAAACGGCCTATTGCACTCTCGCGATACTTCAATGAGTCCTGCAACGGAAAAGATGTCTATTGTACTGAACCCTCTCTGGATCCCTGCTTGCTCGCATGACTGTTCTTCATCTATATTGTGCTGATCCTGTTAAGGAGCCTCGAGTGAGAAATTTATACAGTAGCACTCAAAAGTCTTCATTCAGATACTTTTTAGGTCGTAACCCCTTTCCTATTGGATCTAAGAATGCGCAACTTCAACATGTATATCATGGGTGTATTGTAAATATTGACCGCCATTAACCTTCAATCTGATCGTGTTCCAGATATTCTAAAGAGCTGAGTTCAAAATCAACTGGAAATACGTAGCTTGGACCTTCTGAGATTTCTTTCTTTTTCCCACAACTAAAACGTATGAGCGCTAATGCCGATTACAGCGCAGAAAAAAAAACGCACTTAAGGTGCAAAAAACAGCAGACGTTGCCAACCTTGCTTTAAGCAAAGCCTACTACCGCAACAAACACCTTGCTCTTGATCACGTGTATATGGCCGCTTTGCACTCAAATTGTGTTGAATAGTGTGAAATACGCTCTAGTTAGAAATATCAATTTTTTGCGCGATTCGCTCCACTGAGAAAAAAGTTAGAAGAAAAAAGCCTTATGGCGAAGACTTTTGAGCGGTAGTGTCTAATACAAACAGGCAGATAGGGCGAAAATTGCGAGTACTGTCAGGATCTACCTTCTTATACAGCAGTATAAGAAGGTAGATCATGACGCACCGTTGCTAGTTTTCCACGACGTGGGTGCTCTGCATTGCGACAGGTACCACGTGAAGAGCCTAGCCAGAGCATTGTCGTCAACTGATGGAAAGCCTTTTAGATGTTCTCGTTTGTCTTATCGGAACTGGGCACCGTACAATTCTTCATCGACGTGGTGGCATGTCCAGTTTCGGAAGGGAGAACTGAATGAGCGACTTATCCGTTTTGCCCCACAATCAGATGGTGGGTAGGCAGGTAGAGGTGGCCATCGAAGAGACGGAGTAGAAGTCGTATATGGCCTTTTATAGTGCCCTTCGAGATGCAGTAATTGCTTCTTCAAGGCAGCGAGGGGAAATCATCTTGGTTTTACATTTGACAAANAAACGTCAAGAAGCCTATTGGAAGCGAATGTTTCTGATACTTTCCCTTTTTTGGATTATAACAACCCACGCCACTCACAAGCTGATTTAATACTACGAGGAGAATTCATCCTACCATTAGAAAAACTCTGATGACACTATTCGAGAGGCGTAAAGCCAAAGATTTGTGACAATTAAAAATTTTACCTTCTTCAACCGTTTCTGCTTTTGGGACACAGAAAGATTTTCATCACAGCAGATCTGCTCGAGCAGTTCAAGGAGATTTTGGTTTAAATGCTGATTATTTCCCAGAGGAATCTGAATTGCATTCATTGAGAGAAAAATTGCAATATCATCAACGTCGTGAACGTGTACCTTGATAGAATCGAAGTACTGCGCAATGTTCAGACTTGTAGTGGGTTCCTTCACCTCATCTTGTTCGACGGGCATAACCTTAACTTGTTGAAACGATCTGCTGTCTACTCCATATTGACGCTTACAATTTAAGTTACATTTTCTCTCAGAGATATGATCGGTAACGAATCCATGAAAAAAAAATCGAAGTTTGATATTTTCGGGTTTATAGTAATTAACTAAGCAGAACAACGTTAGAGAAATCTTTGATTAGGACCTATCAAAAAATTCTAACAGTAAGTATATTCAGGCTAGCAAAAATGGAAGAATGGACCAGTGAAAGTTGTAAGGTTTGGGTTGACAAGCAATGAGAAAGTAGAGATAATAAAAAAAGGAAAAGTCCATGTATTGATAGGATATAGGTCCTGAATCACTCATACGTAAAGGGACAGGACTTATAGGTTATGGGTCCGCAATTCCCGATTAATCGGGTATGGAATTCGATGTTTCTCAGGATAAGACGGGATAATATAGCTTGTAGACATAAAATGAGTGATAAGTGCAATGACAAGATCAAGCAGTCACTACCATTTAAGGAGAATGTAGTTAATTCTTCCCTGCTTTTGACTGCGTGCGGCAACTGATTTTACAATAAATAAATACGTGGCACTTCAATGAGTCGTAATACTGAGGCATATTGTCGCAGTTAAATGCAAGGATCATATCTAACGTCATTCTCCTTCTATGGTATTGACTTGGGTTGGATCTTGTCATTGCGCTTATCACTCATTTTATGTCTACAAATTTATCTTCTTGTTTTATCGTGAGAAACATCAAAACGGCTAGGCTTCATCGTTCATGCCCGAGGGATCAGGAATTGCAAACCCATGAGAACCTATACCAACCTTTACCGTGCGGATATACTTTTTTGCAATCCATTATCTGCATTTCATACATGTCCTATATCACACAGATGTGACAATGCGCTGCTGTCTTACGTAAAGAGCAGTTGTAACAACTCATGAGAGCCATGATTCGCCCTTATTAGTTGTTATGGCCCTTTCACCGATCATACATGATTCCGACAAATCCCACATCACTCTCCAGCGTGTCATAGTACTACTTCAATCCTATGAGCACGCGCAATCAATTCAGCGACTGCAGAAGAGTCCTATCCTGTAAGGCTCCTTATCAATCCCTGTCAACTGTTATCACTCTCTGTCACCCACCTTTACCAAGAACGTCTTGTCCATTGGGACAGGGAACATGCAATCCTATTCAAGTACTCGTGGATACATTCACAAACAAACCATCAGAGACACAGCGATGTAGTAGGATAATGATTATGATTATAGAATTGATTTCTTGATTCCTGGTTTCTAAAGTTATGAATTTCCGATCTCAGCTCCGCCCAACTCGGAGCCCGCTCAGCTCACAATTGGTGTGAATTCAGCTCCTGTTTACTCGATAACCGGTGGCTAAGGAACTTGAAAATGCACTCCCACTGCTTTTAAAAGACAATGGGCTACAGCATGTAGCACAAATCGGCTTCCAGAAATTGAACGAATGGCGGATTGAAGCTATCTCCCATACACTCCCATACATCACATTTCACCACGCCTGTCACCAACACATTTCAATTTATTCAAACATTCAAATATCTCCATAACTTTTTGAATGAACTCCTTCTTGAGAATTTAAAAATCAAAGTGATAAGGAAGCTGCCTTTGTCTTATTTTGGAATCTAGATCATCGGACTTTTATATGAGTGAAATTAACAACCTTGTATCACGTTGGCAAAAGTGTGTAGAATCAAGTGGAATCCATTTTGAATAAAAATGTTCACTTCAATGTTACGATTTTTTGAATATCAGCTGTCACTGTCAAAACGGCAAGAACTTTTCATACAACCAAACATCATATGAAGTCATGAAGTGCTCATCAATTTTGGACTGACACTCGGAGTCAATCAAAGTGGTTATTGCAGTCATTCTAAAACCTTCCGTCTGTAGTGCAGGAGTCAAGAATTCCGTAATATTCAGAACTGGCAACTTGAAATTAGCGATCAAAGATATAATGGCGGCATTATTTCGTCTGTAGGGCCGCTGTGACCAGTTTTCTTCCCGTGTCATAGATGCGAGACTTACCACGTACAGAACGTACCCTTTATGAAGCAGATTGTGCTCTTTCAGATTTGACCATGAAGCAGTATGTCTTTTCCAGTCATTTAACATTCTAATCATTGATGGTCGTCAACAATGAAAAGTCGTTAAATTTTTCACGCTAAAAGCCAGAGGTGAACAACGACGTTGAGGCACTGACTACAGAGTGCCCCTGTCTCATAGTAAACTCATTAGGTGCGATAATGAAAAAAAAAGAAAAAGAATAGTTTGACGCCGCAAAGCTGGAGGCTTTACATATGCGTCATTCACAGTCCAACGTACCTTCTCGCGTTGCCTTTCTCGAATGGCGTCTTCCACTTCCAAAACTAAACCTTTTGGTACACCAAAAACTTTCTTCTCGTAATCAAGGAGAATAGTCACAATGTGATGACGTTGCGAAGAAGTGACAGGAGGGTATCCTCGAAGTGGTACAATACATTTGGATAAACCTTTCAACACCTGGAATTTTTTCGTCACTGAGAAGCATATAAACTCTTCCACTTGACCACCATTTGTTACCAACAGCCTCTCGATTAGACAGAAGTTCATCAAGCTGTAGGCAATGGTTAGTTGCGATGCGATTCATGAATCGCACTAATCGATGGAGTTTACGACGTCGAGCAGAAGGAAGCGAGAGAAGTACAAGAGACAATGCTTCCAAAAGAGAACTTGAGGGCCTTGACAAGATTCCTGAAAAGAATTTCCCAATGATGGTGGACTACCTATTTTACAAAAAGAAACCTCTGTCTAGAGAAGACTTCACATATCCACGCATAGACACTTTTGGAGAGTTAGTTCCATAGTCGCACTGGTTTTTGCAGAGTTCACTCAAATCAGGTAATTCCATAGATTCTGAAGTATCGGGCATTATCGAGGATGTCTGGATCACCTCTAAAGGAAATTTGTGATATCACTCGACCTGAAGGCACTACTGAAGACATTTTCCGGCTTGATCCATTTTTCAAACACAGTTCGTCAAGTTTTTTCATCAGGTCGGGACTCTTTTTCAAGCCAGGAAGCTTCAATATCTCATCATATTCAGGCAACTCCTCCACTGAAGCATTCCCATTTTGAACAAAAAGGCTGATATCAGATTAGTAGCAACATACATAGGTAGGTATTATTCCGCACTTGGCCAGCGCCTTTACCAGATGAACGACCAAGCGTTGATGGAATGTCAGCATGCCTGCAAATTGCAATTGACCTCTTACTAGCATATTTTCGCTTTCTTTCTTGTGGAGCAGCATCTGCAAACCAAGTAAAAACTTGACCTACAGCCAGTCCTCTCTATCTGGAGCCAGAAATCGAGTTTCATCACTGATTTCGTTATTACTGCTCAGCGACATAGGTCCATAGTATTCTGCCTGTGATGCTCTCGAACTCTGAGAAATAATCGGAGAATAGCGTTAACTTCACTGTCGAAGTGGAAGTAAGAGTAGAGGTAGCTACAACTAAGTATATTTTTCATATACATATATTTGTCTTTCTGATTTACAAAGCAGTAACTTTGTATGTCGATTTGTCCGTCCGTCTGTTCGTCCGAGGAAATTTATGATTACAATAGAGGTAGTGATATGGAAAGCCCATTCCCTACTAATCTCATACATAAAGCAGTATGGTGGGCAGGTTAATGGAGAGGAATATGTACTACGATGTGTAGTGAGTTTTGAGTGAGGTGAGGAAAATGAGCCAAACTCCTTGGGTACACGTGATCTAAGCTAGGCTCCGCCTACTAGGGTCGGGGCTTGCGCGAATAGTGTAGTTCACCGGAAATGTGTTACTCCTTTGCTCCTAAGCCTAGAGTACTCAAATTTGGCAGAGATGTAGGTGGCAAGGTGGTAAAACTAATGGTCGGTGACAGGTGTGGACTCCGCCCACTGTGGGCGAGGCTTCCTCAAAAACAGCCAACTTGGACCTGGGTCGTTCAAGTTCGGCAGAGATGTGGTCGCGTCTGTCTGTCCGTCCGTCTGTCTGTATGTTTGTATGGAAATTCGTAACTCCTGTCCCCGTGGACCTAGGACGTTCAAATTTGGTGGGAGCACAGGCGGTAGGATGGGAACACGTATGGTGGGTGGCAGGGCTAGACTACGCCCACAGGTGGCAGGGTTTGTGCGAAATAAATGTTTGAGCGGAAAATCCATAACTCCTGATCCTTGGACTGACGAGAGCAAAAACAATAGTAGAGGGGCAGGACGGGAACATTGACGATAAAGGAAGCCTTAGAGAACAAGCTTCAATCACCAATCGAGTCCTAGCGCCTTTTTTATTTACGATTTAGCTGTAACTCTTTGATATGTTTCATTCGACAAGAAGGGTAAGTGCTTAATAGGCACCGACTATGAAATTTGGTTCACTTCTTGCTTACGACCGCTACCCAGCGAAGTTTACGATTCGATGAAGAATCACAGTTTCTCTCTGCTTTGATATCATTCATGGCAGAACTTATCCGACCGCTAATAATCTTAGATTCTCTAATTATGTATCCGTAGATAAAAGGAGCTACATTCATAAAGACATTTGATAATGGTATTANGAGCTACATTCATAAAGACATTTGATAATGGTATTATTATGACTCGGCAACAGTTGTGAGTACCATTCAAGGCTTTGAATGCCTATCAGTTAAATCTTCAATGGGTCATTACATTTAACATCAACAGCGACAGACCGAGACAGACAAGATCCTAATCAAAGGCATAGGCATCGGCACATTTTGGATATCGTTTGCATGCCCTATTGTTCCTCTGTCGAACTTCGTGTTCCGAAAAGCACCATTCGTTCCAGAGGGGTTGCTGTTTGCCGTTTATCACAACTTTATCATAAAAAGCAGGTAAGCCCAGCTTGAGCCGGGCGGTACGACTGTCTCTATATATAAAGCGGTGCTTTTGTGCGTCTGTTTGTATGCCCGTTTGTGCGTCCTCTTGAAAGTTACGTAGGCCGATGAAAAGTGTGAATGTCAAGTGAGCGTGGTGAGGAAACAGTCATGAAATGGGAAGTCAACAGATACTGTTCATATTGGTCCTCCAACAAGTAGGTAAGCGGTAGTGGGCATGTGGTGCACGCATTAGCGTGCGTAGCCCAACTGTTATACATATAAACCGCAAATGTCCGTTTGTCCGTTTGTCTGTCTAACACTATCTTATATGATGCCGTTTGGAAATCAACTGAAACAGCTCAGACAGGTTGGAACAAGTGAGGTCGGAGCAAGTGGGGAATGAGCCGGGCTCCTTGGGTACACGTGCCCTAAGCTAGGCTCCGCCCATAGGGGCGGGGCTGCACTAATAGTGTAGCTCACCGGAATTCTGTAACTCCATTGCTCCTGAGCCTAGAGTATTCAAATTTGGCAGAGATGCAGGGGCAAGATGCGAAAACTAATTGCAGGTGACAGGTGTAAATTCCGCCCACCGGAGGCGGGGCTTCCCCAAAAATAGTTAGTTTGAACCTGCGGCATTCAAATTTGGCAGTGATGTAGGCGGCAAGATGCGAAAACTAATGGTCGGTGACAGGTGTGGACTCCGCCCACTGGGGGCGAGCTTCCACCAAATAGTTAATTTGGACCTGGAGCATTCAAATTTGGCAGAGATGAAGGCGACAAAAGGGGGAACTAATGGTAGGTGACTCCGCCCACCGGGGGCGGGGTTTGCGTGAAAATAGCAAATATGGACCTGCCTGTCACGACATAAATTTCATCGAACAATATATTGACCAACGAGATCGTCGATGCGTAGGCTATCAAATGCCTACTGCGACGGGTGCGGATGTCACAGTGTAAACAAATTTCATTCTCATGTCCAGTGAAATACAGGCATTCCACAATGTTTAGTGGTAACAAGAAATTGATGATTTCAAAGTCCTTCCATGGCTTCTTTGATTCTCTCAGTTAGTATATGGATGAACGAATGCGAATGATTGCCAAATGATGCTATTAATTTGGGTGGAAGAACGGTACTGCCCCATTTTTTGGAAGAGGATGGCTACTGTGTTGCAAAGACGATTACGCTCCAAGTTATCTTCACGAAAATTCATTTATCGCAAGCCATGAGACGCGCACGGTATCGTGCGCAGGCCAACTGGTCCTTTCCATACAATGCATTTTAATTAGCCTGTTTCTGCCAAGCTCTCCTTCACAGATAGTGCCCCTTCCCCTCTAGCATTTCTGTAAAGAGAAATATCACTTGCTCATGATTTTGGGATCTTAACACCGTTGATGAATGAACTCCTTTCTATTTTAGCTTCACTGGTGAGCGCCTTCTCTATGACTGACCAACCTGATTAGTAAACCGAAAACTTGAACCATACTTATTTTTGTTCTAAAGTGTTAATAACGACATTACCAAGAGCTTATGACCCTCCGGTCGGATCAGCTCTGTTGCAACTGATCCTATCCTACTATAAATGGTCCGCTAGGTGTGCCTGTTGGTTTGTCTGTGTATATGTGTGTTGGCGAGTGTGCGTTTGTGTGTGTGACCAGAAATTCATAATGTCTGTTCTCGTCGACCTGGACCTCAAATTTGTAAGGAATACGAGCGGCAGTACGGCAACGCTGAAGATAGGTGATAGGTAGTGATAACAGTTGATAGGAGTTGATAAGAAGCATTTAAAGTTAAGAGCCACCGGATCCGTCACCTGCTTCCTGTTAACGATAATCTTGGCACTTGAGAAGGTGGTGTGAGATGCAGCTGCAGTTGAGTGGATGATGAAAAGACTGATAACAACTGATAGGGACTGATAACGAGACATAGAAGGTGAAAGCCACTAGGTCTATATATAACGCCCTTCATATCTTAAACGGTGGAGGTAAAGTACTTTCGTAGGTGAGGGGGGATGTGTAGGGAACGAAGGTGAATGGTGACAAGGAGTGATAACAAGGGATTAGGGCACTCAAAAACCATGGAAGGCTCAAGTCACTAGATGTGTGTAGTCTTCGTGTTAAAGGCACAGTTCACGATAATCTTGGGTAACCCAGATTATGACAAAAAATGGAAGATAAGATGAAAAATAGTTGGATGGAGACGAAGGAACTGCGTGGATCGGTGCTTCCGGAATGAAAAAAGGCTTCGAAAAACCGTTAAAAAGGGGGCTGAACGAGAATTATGCCAGAAAAATGAAGAAGAGTGGGACATGCTATATAATGTGTCTCGCTGCGTACGTGTGGGTCTTACCAGGGAAGGATCCCAACTCGAAGTGGCCATTTGTAATAAGACCTATACTGCTAGACGTGTTTTTAGGCGCTGAATT